TGGGGAGGTTTAGTGTTTGCTAGGGTGCGGAGTCGGGGGGGGGGGGGGGGTTTGGGTTTTTTTGGGTTTTCCTCGAGGAGGGCGCCCCTTCGGATCATTTGCACTTCATCTTTTTTTAAAAGGGGGGGCGGGGGTCAACAAATAAAACGAGCCTGCGGCTCTGACCGTGGGATTTCCCCCAGCAGTCTTGAGGGCGGAGAGAGACCCTCTCCTCGCTGACACTTGAAGGCCGCCAAAACCCAGCCTGGTCACTCTTACGCCCAGCTGCAGGGGAAAGAAATGCGCCTTGGGCTCCTCTGGCGCGGACTAAGGTTGCAGCGTGATAGACACGGGGGAGGGGAGTCGGCGGCGCTGGGTCACCCAGGAAGCCAGGCTCCCTACTTCCAAGAAGACGTGCACACGACTGCAGTCCTCTCCAGCTTGATGGGGCGGGGCACGCTCTACAGGAGCCAGCGGGCTTGCTCTCGAGCAAACGTGGGCCTCCACTCCCCCCGGGCAATTTAGTCCAGATCCCATTCGAATTCAGTGCCAGGAGCTGCAGCCCTGGGCGGAGTCACCGCAATCGAGACCCGCCGAAATCCACGGGTTTGGACCAGAATAACTCTGCCCCAGATTGCCCTGGGACGGTCTCCGGAGTCCGGCTTCAGGCTTTGGGAGGGCTGTCCGGTTTCTAGCCCTGAAAAGGACAGAAGCCAATGAGCCTTGGTTTCCCCTCCCCCTCCCCTGAAAGTCTGCATTGCATTAACCACCACCACCCCCTCCTCCACCATCCCATTTCCAAATTATGACCACAGGTAAATAATAAGACATGGTGGGTTTTTTTGGTTTTTTTTTTAAAGGATGGTAATGATACCCATAAACAAATGTTTATTTTGGCTATTTTCACTCGTGTTGATAGTTCTGTCTGGCCTTCCCCTTCGATCTCACGCCCACACACTATTGTGATATATATATATCTATATATTTTCTTTCCCGAAAGGCATCTATAGCTATAACGCGAGGCCCCCTCCGAGAAGCTGGGAAGTCCTTCCGCTCAGAAAAGCCTGAGAGAGTTGAGCGCTCTTTTGCCAAGGAAAGTTTAGAAAAGGGAAGGGGGGGGGGTGGAGGGAGAGAAGGAAGGCGAAGAGGAAATCTCTTCGTTGGCGAACTCTGCTAGGAACAGAGCTTTGTAATTATTTTGTTCTCCATGAAAACAGACAAACAAAAAAATTATTTATATGGACCGTATTTTTTCTAGCGTATTTTAAGTTATTTGAGGGGGGGGGAGGAAAAGGGGGGAAAACTAAGAAGAAAAGAAAAGAGTCGATGCTGTTACTTCATTGATGTGTTCAGTGTCATGCATTTTGTTCCACTCAGGTTTCGCTTCGCTTTTTTTGTTTTTTTTGTTCAGTCATTGTTGACGTCACGGTTTTTCAATAAGTGCCAAGTTATGAACTGAAGACACTTTTTTGCAATCTATGGAATGGGGGGGGGAACAGAGTAAAGTTTGAGCTGATGGTTTCGCATCCTTGTTGTTCCTGTTGCTATTAAATCCGTGGTGCCAGCCGACCTTCTTCTTATTCCCCCACCCACTTTAATCTTCTTCTTCTTCTCTCTCTCTCGGTGCCTGTGTGTGTAGTGTGTGTGTGTGTGTTTCGGCCCTGATGGAGTTCCCACATTTCTTTCTGTATCTCTTAAAGGTTACCCAATCGATCATCAAACACTAGCGGGTTAGAGTCTTCCTCGGGCCGTTTCTGTGCCGCTCTCGGCTTGGGGGGGCCGGTCTAATCTAGGAAATGCTTCCTCTTAAACAAACAAACAAAAGTTTTGGAAATAATCGGAAGCCGTCGACTCGGCTCTAAGGGTCCGTGAACTTTTCTCCGGTGATGGTGATGCAGAGTGGGGGAGGGGGAAGGCCAGGAACCCCCGCGAACTGACGATTTAAAAAAAAAAAAAAAAAAACGTACACGAAGAGTTTCTGGAATTATTGTCCTCGAAGGTAATTTAATTGAATGGAACAATAAATGCAGGGCTCAATGGACTTTAACGATAACAATCAATAGGAACGCCGCATTCGGTGGGTCTTCGGTGGGTAGGATCCGGCCTCAGGACCCGGCGCCCAGTCCAGTTGGCATGGCCCAGCCAGATCCTCGCCCTGTTTACTCAGAGGGAAGCCCCCCCCCCCCAATTGGCGGGGGCCTGGCGCTTGGCGAAACGAGGCAGGCTGCAGCCTTGCTACCTGGGAGTAGCTCCCATGGAACCCAACGGGGTTTCCTCCCATGCAATTTATTCCACGCGGAGATGGCTCCAGGGGGCAGCCGCGCCGGTCTGCAGTAGACCCGGGAGCCCCTTAGAGACCCACGAGAGTTCTGGGGCTGGAGCTGTCCGGAGTGCCAGTCCTCTCTGACGAAGGGAGAACTCCTGCCCGGGAGATCCTGTCGGTCTCGAAGGTGCTCCTGCTGGACTCGCCCCCAGGCAGAAGGGTCGTCTGACGGGAGCCCAATCCAAAGCGGCCGCCTGGAAATCAGCGGGACTCGCTTCCTGTTCGGTGGGCGAAGAGCCTGCTGTGACTCGCCTGCCTGCTTGAGGAAGCCCGGTTGAAACCGGCCAGATTTCCTGGACTGTGAGGAGGAGCCCCGGAGTGGGCCGCCCGCCCGCCCCCTTGGCCTTCACTGGTGCTCGAAGAGGCTTCTTTGCTCGCTTAGTTCGCGGACGACCCCAACACGGGAGCACTTCCGTTGCTTCTCACCGTCGACGGTGCATAAGATGCCGCCTAGGGGGGATGGCCGGCCCGGTCCACTACAGCCTCTGTCCCGAAATAAGTCCCGCAAAGAGCGTTTCGTCCCGAGAGAATCTGCGCAGACCGTGGCCTCGCCGAGGCTTTCTCCTCCTCAGGCTCTCGGAGAGAAGCGCAGGGGCCGTTTCTAACCCAACCCAACCCAACCCTACCCGGTACCACTCAGGGTCCAGGAAAACCATTCCAGTACCGGACGGTTTACGGCCCAATCCTGAGCAAGTTTAATCAAAAGTAAACTCCCCCCTGGGCACTTCAAAAATTAGGAATATATATATCTACACACGAGTTTGCGTTACTCTTTTTCTTCAACTCCAATTGGCCGTAATCGAACACCTTTGACGGAACTTTGATCACTCAAGGATACTTTTCTTTCTTTTAAAGTTTCGTGTGCTGCCCACTCTTTAAAAAAACAAACCAAAAACTCGTTTGCAGTCTGAGTCGGTCTAACTATGGGGATTTGGAATATGACTCAAGAGAGCCAGTTTGGTGTAGTTGTTGAGAGCAGCAGACTTTAATCTGGGAGAACCGGGTTTGAGTCCCCACTTCTCCACATGCAGCCAGCTGCAGTCACAGTTCTCTCAGAGCTGTTCTCTCAAGAGCCGTTGTAGAAAGAGAGCTCTCAGCCCCACCTACCTCACAGGGTGCCTGTTGTGGGGAGAGGAAGGGAAGGAGATTGTTGTAAACCACTCTGAGACTCCTTCAGGTAGTGAAGGGCGGGGTATAAATCCAATCTCTTCTTCCTCCACCTCCTCCTCGAAAAGAGCAAGAGTCCAGTAGCACCAGGCCTGTAGCTACAGTGGGGCATCTTGGGGCTAGGCCCTCCGACTTACTGGCAAGCCCCCCCCCCCACTTCCTATCAAGCCCAGGGACCCAGAGCAGTAGTGGATTGGGGGAAGGAGCCGGGTATTCCTTTAATTCGATTAGACAGTGCCCACTAAGAAATTTAATTCCCTCCCCACCCATAAAAATATCCTGGCTTCGGGCCTGAGTAGCACCTTAAAGACTAACAAAAAGTGTGGCAGGGTAAGAGCTTTAAAGCTCGTGACAAATCTTGTTCGTCTTGAAGGTGCTTCTGGACTCTTGCTCGTTTCTGCTGTTACAGACAGACGAACGCGGCCACCCCTTTTGATCGGTGTCTTTTAAAGCTGTGGAAGGACCAGCGGAGGAAATCCCCGGGGCGTTGCTCAGGCAGAAAAGCTTCCCTTCCCTGGCTGATTGGCCTTCCCCGGAGGCGAAAACAAAACCCAGGGAATCAGATGGAGCCGGGAGGAGGGAGGGGCTGGGAGAGCCACGCCCCCTTCCCGCGGAGAGCTGGTCTGCCAAGCAGCGGCTGCCTCTGCAAAGTCTTCCCGGTGGTCGGTCGCCCACCCAAAGTCTAACCGGGGCCGACCCCGCGTAACTTCCGAGATAAACCTGTGCCCGGGCTCCCAAAACCTGCCTGTCCTAAAATCCCGAGCAAACCTCGACCCCTTCTCTGTCGCCTCCTCCTCCCTCTCCCGGGCACCGGTAGCCTCCGACTGCAGCCC